TATACAGTATCACAGAGCGCCATACAGGTATTAACTCCAGAACAGCTCCAGTAGCTGGGATAAATAGCTATTTTTTGTATTTATCTTAGAGACTATACAAATGTTTAACATATAATATTCTACTCTTTCTGTTCCTACTCAGCATGACTGGTGTTCATTGCTAGGGGGTGGGTGTATGTGGGTTAACTAGCACAGGAAGTGGGGACAGCTGTATAAAAAGGTAGATGCTACTTTGTGGTTTGAACAAATAACTGTGACATATGTGTCAAGCTAAAACTACTCCAAAAAGGGCAGAGTTAGTTTGTTTATTGGAGAAGAGCATCATTAAACTGTTTTCCGGTTATGCAACACTGGAACAGTCCTGTATTAACACGTAAAGCATTTAGCTCAGTAGAGTTGTTCATTAAGAAGTAATAATATCTAGTCTCAATTGCCTTGTTAGCCTTCAACTAAGTGGACTATATTTTCCCAATCAAACACACAAATGGTCTCTCTATGAAATTGCTAAAATAGCTCCATAGAGATAGTTTTACAACTGTATGATATGCTCTATTAACTTATTAAGACTCCTATCAATCTGAAACAATATGAATTATATAATGTACATAATGCATATAATGATGCATGGCTATTAGATCAAAAAATGAAAATGTAAGTTGTGTTGTACATATCTTTTAATTTCTTATCAGGTAAGGCCGATGTATAAACTGGTGGCTGAATCAAGCTGCATGTCAAAAGTGTGGTCTGTTACCCAGCCTGTCTGTGACCGCACTGTTGTGGCAAAAGTTCAGCGCACAACTTGAGGGAATTTACCTGAAGTCTCTGTGCAACTCGATGCCAGACACAGTTTTTGTAATTAATCATGTGATTATTACTTGTTTGATTAGTTGATGGAAAGAAACAGTAAGAGTACATGGCTGTTATTCAGCTTTTTTAAAGCTTCTCTTACTGCCTTGCAACAGACAAGGAGGTTTTCTGTTTTCATCTAAAGCCTTTGGTTTACAAGCGAAGTTGACAGTGTTGCCATGAGCCTCTTAAACTGTGAACAGGAAGGGCAAGTGTTAAAGTGCTTGAGGGCAGAATTCTATGGTCGAGTGTCCTGACAGATGAAAATGGAGTAATTGCAAGTACAGGCCTTGGAAGTGGGTGCTTTAAGATATAAAACCATACATAAAAACACTTATTAACATAATATTATTACATTTTATTTTTTAAAGCAAACACTTTAGGCAGGCCTATCATCTTAGTAAGAAAACTATTTTTTTCTAAATAACATTTTTAGAGCCATTGTATGATAAAATTCAGTGGCACCACTTCTGTATCTTTTCACGGAAATGGCCTCAATAAAGTTATTCACTGTTGATGTTTGTTGGAGCAGGTCCATGGAAAATGGAGAACTTTGGAAGTCTGAGGTCTAAAGGGTAAACATACATTAAAAACATGTTTTTCTTCCGCTGCCTGCATGATTTGTAGCTAAACCTACAGTATACAGTTGAACCAGGAAGCTCTGTGGCTCGCATGTAAAAGGGTTACCCTTCAGTTCCAGAATCCCCTTGAAGACGCGAGCAATACATCAGGTTCAAACCATATGCATAAAAACCAAAATGTTCACAGAGGGGTTTCAGTTTATAGGTTTCATAGTTTTTTTAATAATACCTGGAATATAATCTGTATTCTCTGAAGCTCTCATCCAGAAAGCATTTGGTGCAGTGCTCATACATTGGATGGGTCATCCTGAATAATTAAAAAGAGTTGAAAAGAAAAAGCATGTTATATTGTTGGAGGATATATACCAGCCAAAAATCCCTCCCAAAATAACAAAAGATTTGAATTATTGCTCAGTTTATGGGTCTGTATAAACACATTGTAATGTACATAATGCAATGTCTAAATAATGAAACACATCAATCCAAAAGTTATTTTAAAAAATGTGTGCTGGTCTATGGAAGGGATATTGGAAAACTGCGTATGCTAGCCTGACCAACTGCTGCTGCTCTTCCACTTAAATGTTTCATTGAGAAGATTTAACAGTTAGGCTAAATATAACCACAAACACCACCTTCCGTGATACGCTATGGTGCCTAGAATACAACTCTAAAAGCATGTCACTTACAGATACTAGCCTCCTTATGCCAGACTCACAAACAGTGTGCGGGAGGCCATTCGATTTGAACTTTCACTGAAAATGTGACTCATGAAAATGTGTCCATTTGCACTTTATAGCATTTACCTCGCTGCCTCATTGGTTAGAATAAAACAGAAGAATGATTAGAAGTGTTTGAACAGAGTTTGGCAAGAGTTAGAAAATGTTAAGTGCTCACCCTCCACCTCTCATCGTCCACCCCCACACACTCCCTTGAATGTCTACACATATTCGCAAACACACAGATGTCAGAGGTCTGAGTGACTATACCCCTGTCACTGGGTGCCTGCTGTGAAAACAGCACACACATCCTCGTCTCCTCACCCCCTCCCCTCTCTCCCTCTTCTCTGGACGCCAGCCTGACATACCAGACCTTGTTCGTTAGCGCATATTTTTACCCACCGTTACTAAATTAGGAAGCCAGAGGGAGCAAATGGAGTGTGGCTGCCAAGGCAGAAGAAGAAGGGTCTGATCAGACCTGGGTTTGCTGAGGGACCATGCCAACCCTACCAGCTTCATTAAGAGCCACTTGGGCTTCAGGAATAGAAGCCCAACAGGGACTGGGGCCAAACAGAGCCCTGAACGGCCAGCCAGAAACTCACGGGACAAACAAACAAATAAACGGGTTGTCTCATGGCCTGCCAGAATCAACCGGCAGCAGCCATCCCAAGGAGCCATAAGAAGTTATCTTAGGCAGTCTTGCACACAAAATGTGCCCTGCCCTGAGTTTAAAAGTGGTGACAGTACACACACTGCCAGCCCGATAAAGAATAAATTAACCTAAAAAACTCTCTCCAGAGACCAATTTCTCAAAGCAGCCACAGAGACCTTACTTCGTGTTTACTTGGCATGGGTTTTGGGCACTGATGTGAGAAAGGATATTTTCACAAGGAAATGTACATTTCCTCTTCTTGCTATCGGTATGTAGTGTTTATGTCTAAGAAAGTGCAGAATTATGTGAAACATAGGAATTCCTTATTTGTATTTTTAAAGATATAATTTTGTTTCAATTCTGGAAAAACCTTACAGTGCTTGATCCCCCTCAACACTAGCAATTTAAATCTACTCCTACAACATTGGATTCTCATTATTAAATGGAGGATCATGGTACAGCACTGAAATACATTTTAAACTGCTTGTTATAAAATACATAAAAAGAAGAGAAAGGATTGTGTTCTGTAGAATTCTTAATCTGTTTTATTTGCAGGAGATTTGGACAAAGGATATCCTGTTAGCAAATAACATTATGTTTTTTATCTCTGGCTGTGTTCAGAGTAGCACAAATATTTTTTTGTTTTAATGTTGGAAATTCTGCTGTTTTACAAAAGGTTATAAAACCATAGAGGAGCATCTTTGAAGTTTATTGTTTATTATTTGCCCCCTCAACCGGGCGCACTACTGTGACTTCACTCCATTTAGCACCCACCCATTAAAACTAATGAGCTATTAGCAACTGACTTTCAACTACTTTAAGGTCATTGTTAACATTGTCAATTCTATGCAGTATATTAACCAATAACGACACAGATACTAGTTTCTATATATTCTGATTCACTGCAAGTCTTTCTTCTATTCATGATGATGCTTTTGATCACATCATAAAATACTTGTTAAGACGTTTCACTATTAGTAAGTCTATAGGCATGTGTAGATGACAAAATTACAGATAGCTAAAAATAAGCAAGATCTTCAGAAGACTGAGAAAACATCAAAAGGTAATCTGATAAATGCTGAGGATGCAGTTTGGATCAAACTAATATAAGAATATTGGCCCTGGGGTTTACATATTTCCAGTTTAACACTTTGAAGTGAGCATGCCTTTAGGAGAGGCCAAGTCCAAGCCATCACTTCTTAGAAGAGCACAACAATATTGTAATACTCCCTCTAGCACAACTGTAAATCTATAGCATATACAGTATGGGACGACTACTATTGTGTAACTATACTGACATCTGGTGGAGGTAGCATCACAGTGCAAAGTATATGTTCTAAACATTTTAAGATTCTCACATTAATTGTACAACACTCTTAATGAGATGAAAACAACTCTGACTTAATTCATTCGTCTATTCTTTTTTTACAAGTTAAAATGTCATTGCCACTTTTTTTAATTTCCCCTCTGTTCATTATACATAGTTTTTACCTATGCTGAGACACTAGCTCATCATGTGGGTATCATGTGTACTCATTTGATTGACACACATATATAAAAGGAATATGCAACCAATGGTAGGAAAACTTGGAAAAAATAGGTCTTGAAACAACATTTTGACACAGGAGATCAAACACAGGCAATTATGACCTGCTAGAAGACCATCAATTAATCAATGTATTTGTTTTTCTTCTGCAAATTTACTGGCAAATGTTACATTTAAGGTAATCATACCACATAGTGTTTCCAATTAGTCTAATTAGTTCTAATATAAATAACTCTGGGAATTAATCCATGTCCCCAAACTCTTAGAATAACAATTTAATATTACATTATCTGTAGATCATTTAATACATTTTTTTTTAAATTGTGTAAATCAAACAAAACTAACATGAAACACATAGGCTATATGTCAATGAAGTTGGTTCGAACACACCCACACATTTTGAGCAAATGTCTTATTAGGCAACATAAGTTAAAACACCACTGGGCTAAACATGAGCAGAAACAAGCTCGGTTAAGTACTCTGTTGTCATAATTTTGTATCATACCGTAAAGACATATCTATATTGTTGAGCATGGTTATTGAACGCAACCCACTTCCTCAATGTGCTGGGGCACTTCAGCACAGTCTGTTGTGTGTTAAGTGACATGTTTTTAGAGTTGCTTTTTAGGCACCATAGTGAGTAAGGTAGGTTTAAATTGTGTTTTCGGTTATTTTAGCCACAACCATTTTAATGCTATGATAATAAAACATTTAAAGTGGCAGAGCAGCAGCAGTAACACGCTAGCCGGATGTATAAAGAGAGTGTAACCAAGGAAACAAAAAACCGGAAAATGCCATAGAGGAAAATACACAAACAGCTGATGGCGCGGTAACGTTACGTCGATTGTTGTGAAATATGGCTGATTATAACGCAATGACAAAAACAAGACCCAACTCCTCCGAGTCTCCAGCTGAGTAAGTGATTTCTTCTTAGCTAAGCTAACGCTCGTGCTTCTGTTGATGACCACTGGTAAATGTTGATGGTTAACGTTAGCTTCTTACTTCCAAACAAGTCCAAAACAGTAAGGCTTTTCTGAATGAATTAGTTGAGGGTTACTTTGTGGGTTTCATGACCCCGCTTTCATTCCATACACATCGGTGTCCCACAAATGTTCGTCCATCTTTTGGATAATGTATTGTATTTGTACCTGTCCAAACTTGTAGATCCCCTGAAAGCATGGGAAGCATCAGCAGGGGCGTGAATGCATCTCCTTCCTGTTACTCCGATGTGTTGAACGCATCACAAACAGGATATGCTAAGAAGGAATTTATTATGATGGCACCTGAAGAAAAGCTCAAACACTTCAACAGACGAGCTCAGGCCTGTGAAGACAACCAAGAGGTGGGTACAGTAGGCTACAGTACAGTTGGGTCAATTATACCTAACCACACACTGGCATTCTTCAAAGGGAAATCTGATTATTGCTATACAATACAAGTATCCAGGTGTTTCTGGCCATCTACAGTAGCCTATGTGCAGGTGTGTATGAGCCTGAGGCATTCTTTTATTTATCAGTAGAGAATGAACAGAAAGGTGGTTAAGATGTAAACATTTAGCAGTATCTTGGAGTATCACGTTTTTTAAAACCAGGATAAGGACTTTCAGTTAACATAATTAAGACGTTTGGGGGTAACATGTAACTGGGAAACAAAACAACAATAAAACAGGATACTTGTATGCATCAACCAGCACTCACTGTTGATATTGATATTGAGCTTGACTTTTAAATTGATTTGATCTATTGATACATTATTTATCAGTCAATTGAAAATACGTTTGATACCGAGAAATATTTTTAAATAGTTTCAAATGCAGTGATTGAAGTGATGTGATGCTTATTAACAGTTTGTTTTACTGTATCTGTTCAGTTTGATGCTTGCATACAGGACCTGGTGCGTTGTGTGGCTTTGACTAGGCTGGTTTATGGGGATGGACATCTGAAACTAGCCCAGGCCCATGCCAGACTGGCTCAAGCATATTTCCAATTCAACGGTAATTGTAATACTGTTAGTAGGCCTACATTTAACGTTTTATTATTAAATTGATTTTCAAAGAGCTGTCACTTAATACAGATACACAAACCATAGTCCTGATTCACCTATAATGCAGGAGCCTGCTATATTACCTTAGACAGGTGCCACATATTGGGTTGAAAAGGCAAAGTAGGAGGCCATTTTTCAAGATGTCACACATCACACCAGACTTATGAATCTATGTAGATGCCCATGCTTTATATTGAGTTGGGTAAAACATGAGTCATGTTTTATATGACCATCTAATGTTAGGTAATTGTGGATAATGTTGAGATTTAGAGTTTGCATGCTGTTCAATTTACAATCCCTTATGGTTGCTTTGTTCCCTCAGGCTGGGGACTGCAGGCCCAGGAGCACTCTGCCCTGGCCAGAGATCTGCTTCCTTTCTGCTCCTCCATCTCCTCTGGCAGAGGTGAAAAGCATGAGGTTCTTCTGTGTCTTCTGAACATACACCTCATTCAGGGAGGCGCTTCACTGCTGACAGTCAAATATCCTTGCCCTGAAGAGTTTTACAATAATGTATGCGATTGACTGAAGTATCAAAAATAATTCCTTGACTCTTTTCAACTCTCGAGGAGGCACAATCCTCTTTTCTTGAGGCAGAACAAGTTCTTGAGGAGCTTCATCCACAGGGTGGCATCAACCAGGAAGAGAAGATGAGGACTGAGCTGGAAATCTCCATTGGTCTATCCAGGTACAGTAGCATTATATTTATTTCAGCTTTTTCTGACGAGCAGATATCTTGCAACATAGAAAAGTGATAATTTTAGATTAAAAGATGCATTGCATCCTATTGTATGCAATAGAAGCTGAGCCAAACAACTTGATATCTACAGAGGGGATTCATAACAAACTCATAATTCTCAAATGCAGCATTTTACTTTTAAATATGACCACAAGATGGCGACACATTCCTGTATTTTGCAAAAAAATCAACCTTTTACGTGGTTTTTGTATTATTTCCTCACTAAGTCATGCTAGTGAAAACAACATTATTTAAAAGTCAGGATTTCCCCTTGTGGTTGTCCATTCTACTCAGCAGTCAGCGTGGGTGTGTTGATGCTGGGTGGAGACGTTTCTGCATATCCACTCAGCCAGTCACTGCTCAACTAGAGGCACTCTTTTATAAAAGCATTTCTCCTTATTCTTTCTTCCTTTTTTCCATTCTCTCCCTCTTTAATTATGAACTCCCCTCACCACACATACCCCTCTTGGATATTGCATTAACAGTCTGGTCGACTGGTTGATTTTTTTTCTATAGCCCTTAAATTCTCAGTTAAATGTAAGCTGCTTTGTTTACCTCACACCCAGTACCATTACAATATTATTGATTTGTGTCCACCATTTTACAAATGCATTTGTAACCTAGTTGTGGTATTGACAACAGAGGTCTCAAGGGTAATACTACATGCTCAGGAGAAGATTAAAGACTTAGTGGATCATGGTGAGGACACCTTTACCTCAAGTGTGGGACAGGTGGTGATATGTTCAGAGACTGTTTAGCCTGGCAAATAAAAATAGCAGCCACTTGGCAGTTTAGATCACTGTGGGTGTAAAATTAGGCCAGGAAATGAAGTATAACTTTACCTGGGTTAAGGTCACCTCATGAATGTATTTGTATCCTGTTAAGCCTTGTATGTGAAAGTTATAATTTACAAATGAGTAACTATAACCTTTGTGAAATTGCAAAACCTGTCAAACTGAAAATACAGTCCTATCTCAAAAAATAAAACATTTGATTAGCTTACAATGACTGTGCTATAAAGCCCTGTGACCTTAAATGTCAGAGTTATTCTTTTTGTGAGGAGAACAATGTTTTCAGACTGTTTAACAAGTATCCAAGCAAAAACAGTGGTAAGGACAGTGTTTATACAGGGGCCCCATCTTACAGGTACTTACAGGTAAGTAGGATCCATTGTTTTGAAAATGCTGTTGCTAGGTAAACTGGGGCATTACTCCTGTAGCATTTAGAGTAAACAAACCCTATCAGCAGCTGAGGTGAGCTACACAAATAGGAATTTGTAAATTATGCCATCTTGTTCTGTTTCAGAGAGTCATAGTTTGTTTACTCAATGTGTGTAATTGAAAACATTTGCAAACTCTGGCTGGTGTGTAAGCTTGCTAAATCTCTTTTGTTGGGGGATGACTAAGAATTTGGCATGCGTCTAAAGCTCCGTCAGTCAACACTGTTGTGATGGAGGGGAATGTTCCTACCAAAGCCAAATCAACTCTGCTATAGATCCTCATCCAAACATCCAGTTCAGTTTTAGATTCACACTCAAGGTGTGCACCTATGATCAGCTGCAGATGGAATATGTATTGTTAGGTTTAGATCTGTTGAGTGTGTGTTTCTGTATGTCTGTGTGTTTGTTTCTTTGTGTTGTCATGCTCTTCAACTCTTTCTAACTGCTATCATAAATCTACATCTTACTTGACAGTTTTAATTGAATTAAACATGTTTAGAGTGATAAATAAAGGAAATCTTCCAATAATCTCTCCACCCTAAATTATCGTACATCCTTTCAATTGAAATGCACTATGTTAACCAACTTTGTGCCAATGTTTCTGTTTAAGCTGTTGCATTGCTGTTAATGTATGCCATTGCCACGATTCACAGACACGGTTTTAACACACAGAATAGCCAAACTCCAGAGGTATTCTTATGCTTGAGTTCCAGTATCTGCTTGTATTCTTTCCAAAAAACGTATTGTTTTCTTCAGTTGTACAATTGTTTCTGATTAGGTGGGTGAAATAAAACCAGCAGGGGTTTAAATGGCGTGATTGACAGTAACTACCCCAGACTGAACAGGTCGTTTTTTATTTCATATATTCTCTATAGTCCTTTAACCACATCAACATACCACAGAGATTTGTTTTTGGAGCAAGCTGTCTCTCTGTTTTTTACTTCGGCTTGGCCTTACAGTATGATTTTTTTTTTTCCCCAGTGAAAGCCCTGAGCAACTTACGTCAACTATGTCCTGGAAACTTTTACAAAACAAGGCAGTGTGGCTAGCTTGGCAACACGTGTACAAATCCCTATTATATTAATTCACTGCCCTGTTGACTCTTAGTAGATTTTCAGTGGGATGTGGCATATTCCCCTCCTGCCAGGAAATGCGTAAGGATGCAAAGTGAATGAGAGGATAGAGGGGGATTGTCTCCATTTGTCCATTCAGGCAGGATGGCAGGACTGAAGCCATTCTTTAATGCAGCTCCGATTCAGCCATCACTGCTGCCCAAAAAGGATCCCAAGTGCCTGCCCTATGAATACATACTGTATAGGTGGGGCACTCCTGACATCCATCATAGCATGTTAGGATAATCATGGATTCATGGAAAATGTTCAGTAATGAGCCATCACAGTGTTTGTGTACCCTGTGCTGCTGACATTTAAACATTTATCCATGAATACCCAGATTCATGTGGGCTTGGGATGTGAGCATGACATCATAGGGTCGAGCTTAGACTGTAGGTTCCCACGTAGGCTGCCCAGCTTCAATATACTAAATGCACTCAGTACTGGGCCTGCTGGATAAAAATGTAATCTAATTGCATGCAACCCATATAAGCCGTTCAGATAGTACTATACTCAGTGGAGTTTGCATGTCAGGAGAAACATTTGTGAGAAGGGGGTTTCCTGTTCTGCAGTGTGACAACAATGTAGCTAGAGATGTTACTTGGTGAGTGGTGTGCCCTTTGAGAAAGACCACCCCCACAACTGGAGAGACAAATTACATTTAGAGTCCATTCGATGGTTTCAGCTGTTAGTAGAGTAGCCTGATGCTATCCAGAGTCCTTGCAGCCATCGTCTCATCCTCTCTCACCATGATACTCTGTAGACTCAAAACATGTTGTTCTAACAGATCTTGTTAAAGATGTAGAACTCTGAGTAATCGTTGTCCCATTAAGGACCATGCTTTCATCTTCAGATTTGCTTTAGTGGTTCCCATCCCCTTATTTGGACATTGAGACTCTAAACACTGCAGGAGCTGTTTGTCAGAGTCCAAGAAGATGTAGGTAAACTAAAGGTGTTAAGAACTAGTTGAGACCGTTAGAGACACATATAACGACACAATTAAAAGGTCAATGTGCAAGCTTTCCCTTTTATAGTCTGCAGTACAACAGGCTTCAAATGCAGCCATCAGCCAAAAGCCTTCACCACTCTGCAGAGCCCTGTTTTGGCTGAAGCTCAAGCCGTTACTTGTTATAATATAAAACAGGCTTGGGATAATGAAGTAAAAGGCTTGTGGGTATATACTGTACACTAAATAATAAATACAGAGTGTTATAAATAGCATACTGTATGTAATGTTTCTGCGTAACAGTCAAGTACACTTTGGCAGAGCAGGTGTTTTCAAACACAGGAATGCCGTCTAACTACTTGAAGAGTACCCTATCTATCGTAACTCTGCCCTCCTGCCTTTTATAGTGGGCTGAACTGGTCACTGTCATTGTGTTTGTCTTTCAGTATCTGACAGTCATTCCATTTGTATGTCCATTCTGCTCTATTAGGGTCTATAGGAGACAGAACAGACCAGAGGATGCATTAAGGCAGTGTGAGAAGTCTCTGCAAGTGCTGAAGGACTGTGGTAAGCCAGAGAAGACATGTTCCGTCTACAGGGACATGGCTGCCATCGAACAGGACAAAGGTCATTTGAACCGAGCCATAGAGCATCTCTCCAAGGCAAGGGGAATGTCACTCAAACAGCACAATGTATATAAACAGAGGAAGAATTCTTGTTGTGGGGCCATGTCTTGTTGTTAGGTAATGTTCCAACACCTCTTATTTGGTGATATGTGATATCTTTTTTCATGTGGGTGTTTCTGCTAGGCTCATGCCATTGCTATGAGTCACAGCCCAGAGGAGCTGGAGGGGGCTCAGATCTGCCACAGCCTGGCTCTCCTCCTTTCTGCTGCAGCAGAGCCCCGTCACAATGGTGAGTTTATGCTCTAGGCCTGGGCAATATGCAACAAGGGGTTAATTAGTCTTCCCTTATGTGACATTCTTTAAGCTGATGTTAAGGAAACCAACTTATAATAGCCTCATTTAACACATACCCAGGTTCATTCAAGTCATTATGATTTACCTATTTCAACTGTTTCTTGGCTAATGGTAGCAATGAGAAGCATCTCAACAAAATCATATGGCAGTATTATATTTTCATTTATTCTCTCAAATATTGCTACCATTGAAGTTAACCTGCATAGTTTGTATGTTCTTCCCTATGATGTTTCAGACTCTGCAGGTCTCTACTTTGAGCAGAGTCTAAGTGCGTACAAACACTGTGCAGGCCCTCAGGATCCTGCCTTTCTCACGGCCCAGGATGATTTCTGTCGTTTCCTCCTCCTCAGTGACCAGCAAGAGGTTACACACAATCATACACACACTTACAATTACACTTCTATGTTTAAAGAGCCACACAATGGAAATTCTATTAAGGTCAGGGTATGTATTCCACCTGCTAAGCCGGAAAGTGATGATTAACCTATTTTCAATGTACCATTTCAGAGATGTGTGGAGATCCAGAGAGCTTCTCTTGCGACAAAGAGATCTACTTTTGGTGATGTGAGTGCTGAGGTAGCAGACACCCTTCAGCTGATAGGAAGTGTAGAGATGAGTGAGGGCAGGGTGGAGCAGGCCCATAGGACCATGACAAAGGTAATATCAAATTACATAACACAAAAACTAATGTTAGCCTTGGATACAACCTGTAAGTGCATATTATAAATACTGCATGGGGTAACATGACATTGTCCCTGTCAGAGTCTTTAGGAGGGTTTACTAAAAGGCCAGGAGTCAGCAGGTGTGTCCATCTAAACCAGTGAGAGGCCAGTTCAAAATATACTCACAAAGAGTCCCGGTCTATTTCTAACATCCTCCCTGAAGCTCAGTGCTATCAGTGGTGTTCTAATCTTGGAAGAGTGCAGTGTGCAGAGCTGCTGTCTCTGGTGTAAAATATCACACACAGGGACTTTGTGTTTCCTCGGTCTGGATGGAGACGGACAGATGGGCAACACAACTTTGGCTGTTTGCTAACTGCTAACTGCTGTCAATTAAAGGGACACTGACCCCAATTAGTGAGGGCATGGCATTATGTCCTTTGAAACAAAAGTGACATTCCTATGTATTTCAACACACATGCACTGAAAACACAGCAGCCTTTCACCATGTATCTCCTCTGTTACTTTATTCCTTATGTAATGTGTTTTTTGTTTTTCACATACTGTAGCACTGCACATGTTTTCCATATGAGCTCAGTTCTGCCGCTCTTCAAATATACTAAAATACACCAGTAAATGGGGGTTTGTTGATACTAGTAACAACATGCCTCTAAGTAAAAGGGGCCTGGTTGCTATGTTGTTTTGACATCTAAGACGCCAGTGCAGGGGGGGTCTTGGACAGGGTATATCAGGACTCTCTCTACACCCCACAATGCTGCTAACCTTTCTGAAGCACCATGACGCAGAGCAGATATGTCAACATGAAACCATCTGCACTCTGATTAAGAAACTTTGTTTTTCCAAAGGAAACCTGGCTCATACAGCAAATACAGAACATATAATCAACTAAAAAAACACAGCGAACAATGGCACACACACACACACACACACACACACACTTCACATATTCCCCTTCAACTGTCGTGCTTTGGAAAAAAAAGACCTTCCATTACATCAACCTTAGCAACAGCAAAAACATTCAGGAGGCCAAATGGATCTGTTCCAGGTTACAGTGTTTTCACTTTGCCTGGTGAAGAGAGAAACTTTTCTCTTTCCATATTTTTTATAAAACTGTCTTCACATCTTATTTATGGTAAATGGCGAAATGACAAGCAGGCTTTTTTAAAGTCCATTGCACAATTATTTGAGCGCAATGTTATTAAATGCCTGTGTTTGTGATTAACTTTTCTGGGTTCTGTTAAATAACGCAATATTTTCTGATGTCATAGAGATTAGAAGTTCTTGAGTTTTCCTCTTATTTGATTGGATCAGAAAAAAGTTGTTGAGTTAATTTCCTCAGGTTCATGGGTTGGTGATTCCTAAATCTATCAGATCCCCCTCATGTTGACTGGTCAGCGCAGGTGTTATCTAAACCTTTGGCTGCAACTGTTATTTTGGGGTGTTTGGTGTATTTAAATGTTGCTAGGAAGGAAGTGTTACTGTAAGTCCCTTCAAGTATGAGTTGCACTTCTGAACTTCCACTGAGCACTTATTCTGCTGTCGTAACTATTTTTATTTCAAATTTCAGTGCCTGGAGATCCAGAGTTTGTTGTACGGTTCTCAGCACAAGAAGACAAAAGCTACACAAAAAGCTGTGGACATGCTGGCCCGGTAAATCTTCTGAAATATTTAGAGTTTGAATCGTATGTGATACATTTCCTATTAACTGATTTTACAATAAGAGAATGCTTTTAGGTTAGAGGAATGCATTGAAATAACAGACCCATGTTTCAGTATGTTGATGTATGTTCTGCAGGGCCCCAGAGGTGGCTGAGAGACAGAAGAGGCGAGGCAGAAGGAAAACAAATCAGACACAGTCAGTTGCACCATCCGCTGGCAATGATGGACACTCAATGTCTGACTCCTAAAATGTAAATAGTTGATTATTTTGTCAGAACAATGCAGCTTTGGAACGGATATCTGTCCACTGATATTTGTATTTAAAAAGTTTGTCTTGCTTTTACTGTATATAATAACACAGGCAGCTACCAATGTTGAAAATGAGCTTTAGTGACTTGATATATCTACTGGAATAACGTGATATTGAGTAACATTGGTGATATAAGTAAGCTTTGAAGAAATACCCACACTCAGAAATCATACTCACAATAGATTTTAATTGTGTTAATCAATTTCCAAATAAGCAATGATGCCAATTGTTAAATATAAATCATTATGTCAATAAAAGCAATGATGTTTGACTAACATATATTGAACATTCTTTATATATCAATACATGTTCTGTATGCTGATGTAAAACATTTTAATACAAATAAATGGCACATTATCCAGATTACACTTTGTACATAGATGCACATATTCCTAATCAAGCCACAAGTTAAGTGCACTGATGTACATATTTCATTTCAATTACTGCAGTTTACAAAATGTATGGAAATATGCTGTTTCTGTGCACTTAAATGCAAGTCTTTTTAATTGAAGTTTCATCCAGAGTATTTCTAATAATTAACATAATTATTAAGCATTCATGCTTAACTTTGTGTTTTTGCACATTTCTTTAACATAATAGTGCCAAGAAGCCAATCTGTGAAGAAATTACTAAATAGTTACAAAGTGTACATTTTGCAGACACTTAGACAAATGTGCACGACTAAACTGTAATCGCTGTGGACCATTTCTGCCTCTGCAACTAGTACGCCACACAACAAAACCTAATGAGCAGTCAATGCCGCTAAGCTGCTGATCCAAAAATAGTCACTCACGGTCATGGACACACGTATGTACGAGCAAAGGTGAATCCTTCCTGTCAACACTGTGACGCCAACGAATGCTTACGAGCCAAAAGGCGTCCCGACAAGACATACTGTACATCAAGCTACATGTGATTACATGTTAACACTATCACTGTTTCCTTTTAATTACATTTCTTTTACTCCGTCCTTTCATCTTAGTATTTCAACCTCTAAAATTGACAACCCTATTTTAGTGTTCTAAATGGTATGATTTTCCATTATAGATTCCCAGCTCCCCAACTACATGTTTGCTGTTGTAGAATTAGAGATGTAAGATAATGATACACACCATGTAAAGACACATTCCACAAAGATTACATTGATAATGTAACTAGGCTTTGTTGTATATTAGGCAAAAACAATTATAATTAGTCAACATTTGCCATTAGTTGTGAGTAAAGCTAAATATTCTTAAAATAACTTGAGTTATTTACTTCAAAGTCACTTTTAAGTGTCACATTTACATTCAACACACTTCAATCGCAGCTTTCAGACTTGCAAAGTTTCTTAAGACAAGTTACCCTCTTTTTTTCAACACTATATACCATTCTCAGCTCCAAGCTTCACTATATGCTGTACACATCACTGACCACTGCTTCAAAAAAACGACTGTGTTCCAAGATGCAGTATACTAAAACCATTTCATTTGGCAGCCGAGCCAAAGTTAACAAAAAAAGAATGAAAGCTTCAATCAGCAAACAGTTCACAGCAACTCAGAACTCCAACATGTTGTTGGCTTGATGTGGAGAGTTGTAAACTGCAGAATGGGCAGTTTAAGATGTGCAGCAAGGGTCAGTACAAAAATATAGAAATCTAGAGAGAATAAATGAACATCTTTGATAATAAACGGCATTCTGTATTAACTGTTAACAAATATCAATGCGGAAGAGGATCAGTATTTAACAAACGTAAACCATGTCCAAGTCCCCATGCTGTTTTTTTATAGTAATATTGCAAAATGTATTACCATAAAAACATTACTAAATGTTACTAAATAATTGAAATTAATCAGTGAGCTCACCAAAATCAATCTGATATATGTTTAACTGCAAAGCCTTAGATCATTATTATAGTGTCTGCTGCATTAATGCTATGTGTGTGGACCGCTGTGTTAAAACAACCGCTGCACTTTAAAATAGTAGCATTGGTAAGCACTTAGTTTGTTAATCATCTGTCGGCCTTTCAAGGTAGACAGTTGCAACTCTTTTCTGATGAGAGATCTTCACCGGGCTGTGCACGGCCTGAGAGAGCAGCTCCTGCTCTGAGGTGGCCTCAGCATGGCTGCCCTCTACGTCCATCTGGAAGGTGAAGGACTTTTCTGATGGGCCCAGTTTGATGTGTTTCTCAGTGACTTCAGATGAAAAGCCTCCTTCGCTAGTAAAGCCTTCAAACTCTTCACCAGTCACAACATCCTCTTCTTTGGAGACTCTAAAGCTGTATCCCCCTCCTGCCCCCCCCTGGAAGGCTTTCTCAAGTCCCGGGTTAGAAGATCTGAGCACTGCCATGATCTGCTCTTCAGACATATCACCTTCTGCCTCCAGCAGCCCAGAGTCTTCCAGACTTTGCGAGACGTTGAGCTCTGCAACTATAGTCATGTTGCCGTTGTCACTTGACTGTGTGAACTTTTTGACTTCCACATTCTGTGAACCATCGCTACTCACTTTTGAGAGGAAAGCCAACTCCTCCTTCAGTGGACCTGACACTGAGCTTTGTAGCTTCTCCAGAGCTCCCCTTAGCTGCTCTCTGGGCTCCAAAGAGTCCTCCCTCAGGAACTCCAGCATTGACTCCTGCACTACAGGGGAGACGCAAACCTCCTCTTCAATGATGCACTCTGGAAAACTATCCTTGACAAATGAGTGATCATCTGACATGAACTTGTATTCATCACTTTCCTCTACAATCACTCTTTTGGATGGAAGACCTTCGTCCTGATAATACCTCTCATCTGACAGGTCATCTACCATACCATAATGTCCATATGAGGTGATGCCACCACCGTCGTCGATTTCAGAAAGATTATCATCTGGTGTGGAGACAAAGTACTCATCTGGCTCTTCATGGGAGAAATATGAAGATTCACTCTGTCTAGAAACCTCCCGGACATCGAACCCACCTTTGAAGTGATCTGTCACCTCCTCACGGTCACTCCTCGGAACTTGAGCCTCATGAGGGATATTTTCTAGCTCCTCAATTTGAAAATATGTTGAGGAGGGCTCATAAAAAGTAGATCTCGACTCAAACTCAAGATCCTCATCATTGTAAGACTCCACCGGTTCCTCAATGATTTCCACATTGACAGACTTATTTTCCAAGTTTCCACTTGCCTGCAGGCCACTCAGCAAGTTCTGGATCATGCTTCCTGTTGCTGTGTCCTTTGATATCTTCCAGTGACACCTTCATAACCCCTTGGCTCAGTAAATCCTCCAGTACAGAGTCCTCGGACAAATCAAGCTCTTCTTCCACTTTGGACTCCAACACAATCTGTGTCTTAGTTGTTCCATCTTCCTGCTCAGTTTTCTCCACATGGTACCTTACGTTGGATTCTCCAGGCGAGCTAACCCTAGCTTCCAAACCTTCTGGTCTCATCGCCTTCTCAATAATCTCCTCTACAGACACAGAATTAAAAATCTTTCTCTCACTAGGGACAATTGTAGACACTGTTTTCCATTCGTCTTTGAAATACCCTTCATTCACATCATCTTTCTCTTTTTCATCTGACACTTGCTTTTTGTTTTCTGCCTCAGTTTTCTTGCTCAGGCTCATCATTTGCGGGGACACCACTCTCACTGATCTGGTATCAGTAGAAGAGGAAGTCTTGTGACTGGCTTGATCCTCCATCTTTTTGATCTCATCAGTGATTTCCTCTGCTTCTGTTTTCTGGACATGTTGTTTAATTTGGTATTCACTCTGGCTTGTCGGTTTATCTTTGGTGACAGAGGTGGTCGTGGTCGCAGGGGCAGGGGTGGAAGCCCGAGATTTGGTGAATGAGATCATGTCCCTTCTAGATGCAGGACTCTGATGCCGAGCTCTGGCTGCAACTGAAATAGGAATGACCCTGGAGGGACTCGTGGATCCAGAGGAAGGCAGAGGAGATCTCGTCAGGTTTGAAGTTGACGGTGTGTACCTGGTATTTGTGTGTTGTCTGCTGGTTGAGGTGGAAGCTCTTTGAGTGTAGGGCAGGGCAGGCATCCTTATATCTGAGACAGAAAATGAATGAATATTTAGGTAGATACTTACAGGAATACTTTAAAACTAGTGGTGCACGATAATTATCGGCCCGATATTAGGAATTATGACATCATCCCGATAAACCCGATAACAGTATTAATAGCCCCGATAATATACAATATATTTTTTGGGTAAAACAAAAGAAAAAAATACTGCGGTGTGGGTGGATTGGGATGAGGGGCGCTTGTTTTTCACTCGGCTCCTCCCGTTTTGCCAGTACTGTGGTATTAGTGGTTTAGGAAGAGGGGAGTTTTTCACAAATCCAGCGCTCCCTAACTCATGCCTGGCTGTGACGTAAATGGTGTGCGGCCGTGAAGCCAGGACAGTAAACAAACATGTCGTCGGTAGTATGGGACTATTTCAAAGTTTCAGAGTTAGATAGTTCGCTTGCTATTTGTATTAACAAATGCAATGCAGAAGTTCCACGAGGAGGGAAAAAGGCAACGAGCTATAATACTTCCAACCTGATTTGTCACCTGAAACATCGCCATCGCTACGATGGTGTGTTAAAAGCGTACGAAGACGCCTGCGCTGCTAAACTAGCGGCGAATCCAAAGCCAGCTGCAAAGGCACCGGGGCTTTTACCTATCGACGAGGCTTTTGAAAAAGGCAAGAAGTTTGCCAGAGACGACCCCAGGGCTAAAACGATCTCTAACTTCATCATAGAAATGATGGCGCTTGACGAGAGTCAAAACTGTTCTTGGCTTTGTTTTGTTCATAGTAGTAATGCTCATGTCATTTGCTCACTACTAGTCTTTTTTTTACCACCAGGTGTGCAAAAACTACAGGTACATTTAATATATATATATATATTATATTATTATCGGTTATCGGTATCGGTCTTGAGAAGCAGGAAGTTATCGGTATCGGTATCGGTTTAAAAAAAACAATATCGTGCATCCCTATTTAAAACTATTATTAAAACTATTTCTAGACAATAAGGTTAAGTGAGCAACATGTCACAACTATAAATCATTTGAAATACGTTACCTATTATTCTTTCTCGGTGCTGTGGAGTCACCCTCCTATGAGTGTCTTGCAGAACCATTCTCTCACCTTCCAGGAGAGCCCTGAACAAACAATAAAAGAAACATATTTAAAGACGAGGGTAAATAAGACATTATATGCAGTATCTCTGGTTATCCTCCTATTCAAAAAATGTTACCCAATATAGTATTTAAAAGATCAAAGACAAATACCTCACGAGACGGTGTACATCATTCAGATCTGCCATCTCAGCCCCCTCAAACTAAACGCAACAGGCTTACCAGGACCTGGCCATATAGGGTGGTAATCATCAAAATCATAAAGGGCAAATGTCATGTGATAAAGACCTTGTAATAATTAGCTTTAGCAGCTCACCTATCCTATACCTCAAAAAAATTTAAAACAGCAAACCAACGTGCCTTAAAAAGGAACAACCTCTCCGGAGACCGCCTTCTGAAAGACTGACCTAAAAATAACAGTACAACGGGGGCGGTCCACACTTCCGCACGAATCCCAAAGCAAAAGCTGACTTGTGACACACACAAAAACACATACCGCTGCCTCGTCTCTGAGAAAACATTCTGTCTATTCCAAAAATTCATAACAAACCATGTTTGCCTGCATATCATCTGCCATAAAGAGACAGAGTGGAGCAGATAGTCCTAAGCACTACATGGGGAATGGCTCAATTCTGTTAGCATCGCAGTTTCCTGAAAAAGGATTCAATCTTGTAAAGATGTCTTACAATATCAGGTAAGAGGTCATGATGTATTTGTGTGTGAATGGGGGAGTAGTTGGCGCCAGTGACATGCGAGAACCGTAGCGAGTGAATGGACAACGACAGCGGTGTATAAATACATTGCACTCTAAAACTGTAGGGGGGGCACTAAATTACTGAATGTTACATTATGGTGCTTAAACTGTTTATGAATAACTTTCAGTAAAAATGGTCTGTTAGTATGTGACCCGCTGTGACTGCGCTGTGTTAGGAGTAGAAGGCTAGACAGGATTTAAAATGCCAGATATAAATAACCCATAATAAACACTTAAAACTTAAACGAGAGAGAAAGTTTTAACAACTTATTAATTGTATGGTTAGCTCATGGAAGTATTTGTAAAATGTCAGAGCTACTATAGTTTATCTAAGTAAAGTTCAGATTACTTAGTGCCAAATTCAGCCGGACGCAGGCAGCCGTTTTCTATTTGTGTTTAATGAAATCACTAATTAAGCTAAGATTGACTTCAAGTAGTGGCAGCTGGTCAAACTAAGTCATCTCTTCATAAAAGCATGGAAATATCACTAAAAAGGAGGATGTAACTATTCACATACTAGTTATTTCTTAATTTACAAAATAAAAATAAAACTACTGAAACAAAACATTTCTGAGGGGTCTTGCTTGGTTTTCATACTCACACTTTAAAGTACATTTCATTTCCAGAATCTATAATAATAAAGCACTTGTGTAAATAATACAAATAAAGAGGGCTGAATTCTATTTAGCAGCTTGAGTTGTAGGGTGCTGTCATGCAGTGTTTTCCCTACTATAACAAATACAAATGTATTACCTGTAGGAAGCCACCTCCATGCCCAGGTCCATCCTGACCTGCAGAAGGTTCTGGTGGTCTCGCATCTTTTCTGCAATAGTGTCAGCCATCAAATTCCTCTCATGCTCCAACTCCTCAATAATCATCTGAAGGGGGAAAGGGGAAATCATAGTTAAAGTTTTCATGCTGCTTTTACAAATCTGTGGTCTGTCCATTGGGTATTATATACTGTTTTGTTTATCCCTGTAATGTAACTATAAACTACTGTAAGTGTGCTTCCTTGTTAACCACTGACCACCAAAGTTTGTGACTACATTTTATTTTACTGCAGCCTAAACGGTGCAAACTTGAAAATCTGTGTTTCTGAATCCCCACTTTTTTAAATTGTATTCTAATGCCAAAATAAAGCAAACTGGCTGAATGTTATTGTCAAAAGTAGGTCTGATCTCACTGCACAACAAACTTGGACCACCTAACCCAGTTATTGCTTCTGTCATTAGTCCATGAACATTTTAAATCAATCAAAGGATATCATTTTCACTTGTAATGTTACCAGAGCTGGAACTGGAGAAATGTATGACCTATGTGTTCATTTGTAATTCACGGACCTGCTTAGTGCTCCATCTATAGGAGGCTAAAACGGATTTGTCAGTCTGAAAGCTAAATGGTTTAAGTGGCTGGAGTAATCTAGCACCTATAAAGTACTAGGGAGGTAAAATATTCAAGCTTTACAATCCTTTTAATACTGAGGTCAAATGTTGCACGCGAGATCAACCGTGCTTTCAACAGTTAAAGGAACACAGACTGGGCAGGCACCACGTAATGTTGACTATGTCATTATGCATAACGGTGGGGGGATTACATTTAAATCAAAGCCATACATTTAATTATACTTTCAGGACAGGCTGAAGGCATGATATATTTTAGGTTAGAAATATAAGCCTTGATATAACTATTGCTGTTTTTTCTTAATTAACAGGGTGATCATTTGCAGCAGACTCTGAGCTGCATCTTTAAGCACAGTGGGTGTGGCAGGGACAGGAGGGAGTACCCTCCCCCTCTCCCGTGGCTCAGTGGAGATATGTCTGATTATTTAATAGTTGTATCACATCTATATGTATTTTGGGACTTCTTAAAATAGAAAATAAATCTCCTAATCTTTGGTTTCACTAAAATCTCTCTGTAAAATGAATATGGGCTGCCCTTTTGTTAGCCTGTTTGACTTTTCCTCACCTGATATTCACTGAAGTCCACCCTGAATTTCTCCTGCATGTGCATCAGCTCTTCTTCAAGATGGAACTGAATCTTCCCTTGTTTGTCGCCCTCTCTGCGTAATTTGTCCAACTCAGAGGCATACATAATCTTCTCCCTCTGCAGACCACTCATCCTCTCCTGGTCCTCTTTAATGGACTGCTCCATCTCCTCCACCTTCCTCTGGTACATATCAAAGGTCTCCATCCATCCTTCGGACAGACTGCGGGCATACTCCTGCACCTCCTCCATGGTGGCTGCAGGAGGCCCGCGGTAAGTTTGCGTGATGATGGGCACCATGCGGGAGTCCACCTGACGCCGCAGATGGACCTTTTCCTTTCTCTGCACTTCTTCCAAGCCTTTACTCTCATTTTCTAGTTGACACAAACGCTGCTGGAGTTCAACGTTGATCTTGTGCGCGTGCTGGAGATCCTTCTCGCAGCCTTTCAGCTCGCCACTGATGTCCCTGCACACCCCAGTCTGCTCGCTACACAGGGACTGGACCATCTGCAACTCCCGCCATAGCTTCTCCCTCTCCATCTCAGCCTGTGACTTTTCAAACGACAGCTGCTCCACCATTCTCCTCAGCTCCCGCATCTCGCCCTTGCACTTGGGCTCCAATTCTGTCGTCTTTGCTTGTCTCAGTTTGTTTATTTCAGTAATAAGATGCACATTTTCCTGCTCCAGCTGCTTCGTTCGAGAGAGATACTGGAAAAGTCTGCTGTTGAGCTCCTGCAGCTGGTGTTTCTCGCTCTCGAAAGTTCTCTTAAAAGGCATCATTTTGGTAATTAGTAAAAAGTGAGTTTAAAGTCCTGTTTGTATATTACTCAAAGTGTCCCGATGTCATTTGCGTGAGCGTCTTTGTGCACTGTGATGTACTTTGCGATCAGTGCCCTTTGACAAGTGCAGGAGGAGGGCGTGTCCTCCCTCAGGATCGCCCCGAGCGCGTCCGTTTCCCTGGCAGATGTTATGCTGAGTTTGAGTGCTGTCGGAAATCAATTCAAAACCTTTATTTATCCAGGTAAAATCTGGATAAATATTATACTTGTTATAACCAGAGCCCTAGAGATACTTATCTCTCTAGGGCTCTGAGTATAACCAAGAGTGTTGGGAAAACATCGTTGAGCTGGATGCTGAACAATATAATTAAAATAATACGATGAGGAAATTAAACGTACAGTAGTCTAATTTAATTAAATGGGAAATACATGTGTTGTATTGTAGTCCTATAGTTGTTATGCTTTCTGAAATGTGAAATAAATATATTGTTTTATATCTATGTTGGCGATTTATGATGTTCTTCTTCAAAACTGAATTATATTGGTGAGCATTTAATAAAATGAACACACCAATGATTTTTCAGTAATTGCGTTTATGAAATAACTAATTAATCAAACCTACGCCTATGTTTGTTCTGTTATTTAAATGTCGAAAAAAAACGACAGTTCAGTCTAATTATCTGGCTAAACGTGGGACTACTAGGTACCAGTAAATTGGATGTTAGAACTAACTGGAGGACCATGAATGCATCACTTCCACATAGACTTTTCACCGGGAAACGGCTCCTCCAAGCGGACATAAAGGTGAACTGCAGAGGCTAAATTTAACCCTGATGTTTTTCAGCGTGCTGATCCTAAGTGCGTAGCAAATATTCTCCTTATTGACTCAACCTCACTGCGTTATTATGAGTCGAGAAGAAATCGTGTTTGTTACAGGTAAAATAGTAAAAGTTTGCTCATGATTACACGAAGTTTTCAACCCGGCGTTCATTTAGATTGTTCACCCCCTAATATAAGGCTTTGGACCGTTTCGACAGTTTTTAGTGAACCCAAACTGGAAAACAGCCCAGGTAATACAAAAAAAAAGAGAAAACTACCGGTTTGTCTTATAACTATTATGGGACATAAATACTTACCATTTATAATACGTCTTTATTTAAGAGCTTGAAGTTGGTTGGATTAGGAGAGAAGACTCATGTTTGCACAAAGGAGGTTCCAGTGAGTTATGTCAAGACTCAGAAAATCATTGCTGAGATTTGGCAAACTCTTCACCCAAAGGTAAACATTGAGTACAAAATAGTACAATTGTAAAAGCTAAGACTATTGCAACAAATTATGACAAATAAAGACACATTTACACAAAATATAGTTATGTATACAGTTAGTATGTATTTTCAAAGTATTAACAGTTGCAGAAACCTCACATTCACAGAGAATAATAGGGGTAAGTGTTCTGAATGGTAGCTCCAGCCCTGATCATGTTTGAAATGCATAATAACATACTGATTATGGTATGAGAAGGGGAATATCTTACCCCACGTGTTTCTGTGTCCAGTTTGCTGTACATCTGGGCGAAGCTAGAGGTTCCAGTGTGGTCTCTCTGGAGCAAACAGCGAGGAACAGTGGGTACAGAGACGTGGAGTGGAGTGGGGGGGGGGGGGTCTGTCCTGATAGTCACTGCTGTGTGTGTGTGTGTGGGGGGGGGGGGGCAGAGAAACTGTCAGTCGTCAACATGAAGGCAGTCGCCAAAGAGTTCAGACAAGGAGGGACGGATGTTATTTATTCAAGAGAGCTGCTGGCAGGTAGGAATCTGTTCCTGCACCTCTGAAATAAATTTCCTTTTGAATGATAAAAAAAACTAGGGCCGGGACTTTAACGCGTTAATTAAGATTAATTAATTACACAAAAATTAACGCGTTCAAAAAATTAACGCATTTTAATCGCACTTATTTTTGCACCGCGGAACGTTTCTCACTGGATGAGTTTCAGGCGTACCGATTATACTGGAGCACCAACTAACGTTCATGACTTCAGACAACAACAAACCACAGTGAACAACAGTGGGAAATGTTGTTTTAAAAAACGGACGGATGGAAGCGTCGATAAGAGCACGGTTGTGTGCAAATTATGCAAAAAGGAATTCGCATATCACCGCAGCACATCAAGCCTCAAGTATCACCTCAATGCAAAACATATAGCAGCTAGCGTGGACGTTAGCCTCTTTTATCGCGTTCACACCAAAAAGAGCCGGTACTCAAATTAGTTCATGAGAACCTTTTTACCCCCACGAAAGTCCCTGCTAGAGAGCAGAGAGCTGCTAGAGAGCAGGGACTTTCGTACGGCTCTCTTGTGAGAAAAGAGCTATATGTCTGATTGGCTGGGCGGATTGCAAACCACGCCCCGTAAAACTCCCAAAAAGTTTTGTGAAGCCGCCATTTTATTATCCTCGCATTAGCATTATTAGCATTAGCCCCGCGCACCAACGGAGAGAGAATAACTTATGTCAACACAAAATAAAACATGGGAGCGGTGGAGATGAGGAGGTGTCGGCGTTCTGGCGATTTACTCGGAAGGCTTCAGTAGAAGCTGCTGGGAGTCCCAGCAGCTTCTACTGAAGGCAGTCCCCAACTCCGGGGACTTCCGGCCAGGGACTTTGGGACGCCGTGAAGTGGTTTGCGGCCTGCCAGTAAACCCAAAGCAGAAGAAGAAGAAGTGACGTCAGCGGCTTCATTTGCCTAATCCACCCCCAGGTTCAAAGAGTTCTCATGAACCTTTGTGGGAAAAGTACTGCGGTGTGAATGCGCCTAATGGTATACTAAAATCCATGTGAAAAAAATTGCTTCTCACTGTTCTCAGGTCAAATATTTATATGTGATTAAAAATGCGATTAATTTCGATTAATTAATTACAAAGCCTCTAATTAATTAGATTAATTGTTTTAATCGAGTCCCGGCCCTAAAAAAAACATGTTATATGCAATACATCTGGGCTGACTTGTCCACATAAAAACGTTATTTAAAAAATACATTATAAATGTGACCCATGTTGCGCATCCTTTTTGTTTAACGGTTGTCATTAATTCAAGCAGATCATTACAGTTTTCTTTAATAGCTTACATGCCATGTGACCCAATGCCTCCAAATCCATACCAATAAGAAAAATACATGTTTATTTAGTCCACCTTCACTTTTAAATGAGTATTTTATTTATTATAAATACTAATGTATTTTCAATAGCTTCCTTGGCATGTGACCTACTAACTCCCATCTTTACCATATAGTATTACTAAACTGAACCAGACACTTCTTTCTTATTGTATTTTTTACAAATGAAACCCTGTGGGAACTAACCATCCTCTGGCTGCAGTGGTCTGTGAAACTACAGAGTGAATGTCTGTAAGATATTCAATCTAAATCTAACTTCACTGCTCCCCAGGTGTGAATTTGCGTATTACTGCTCGCTGTATCACGGTCAGAGGAGGGCAGCCCTCATCTGGCAGCCTGACCTCAAGTACTCTGACCCAGGTCACAGACTGTTCTCTCTCCTGCCTTCTGGGAGAAGATACAGGAGCTTCATGTCACGGACAAATAGACTCAAAAACTGTTTCTACCCCTGGGCCGTCAGGCTGCTTAACCACCACACATAATGCAATAACCGTAACCATTCACTTTTAATGCACTTTATTTACTATTTTTATATCAATATTTTTAAGTATGTATTCCCCCGTACGATTGTTTATGGTGTCTGTCCTATTGCAGTGTTTTTTTAGTGTTATGTGTTTGTATTTTTTGCACACCGGGACAGAGTTGCACTCTGAATCTCGTTATACTCTGTGCATAATGACAATAAAAGGCTTTAACTTTTTTTTTTAAACTAAAAAAAAACGACTTCCTCTGCTGCAGACCCTCATTTATTCCATGCTGAAACTGCATAAAGAGATGATGAATGCAGACTTCATTAAGCAGGCGTTAACAGCATGTTGATCTTGTCATAAAGACATTACACACCACAAACAGACACTGTATTGCTGAACCATGTTGTTTAGAAAATGTGGCCATGGATTAATAAAATAGAAAAAACAGTCAAAGTTCTCATTCATTTATTTATTCAACATTTCAGAAAAAAAAGAAAATACAAGAAATTCTCAGATACACATTTGGAGATGGCATGTCAAAAATACCCCATCTCAGTTATAGGTGTGAAAAAACCTTGAGGCCTCAGATACAGAGCTTGAAAAAAGACAGTCTGGTGACGGTTTTTGATTATTTTCCCCCAATCAGGTAATGAACACATTTAGTGAAAGTATTGTAATAAAATAAGAGCATTAAACCAAGGCCCCCTCAGAAGGTATAGGAATGCAAATCATAAAAACAGAGGCATGATAATGATAAACCTCAAACTTATTATTACAGTTCGAATGCACCGATGCATCCTTCATAAACCTCAGGTTTACATGAAGAACATTCAGGAGAATGAAAGTTAAAGTGTATTCATGTTTTTTTTAGCTTCTGTATGTTTACATTGAAATCTGGTAATGCAAAAAAGCAGCTAGTGTGAAGCTGTAAACTAAGGCCTATCATATCTTCCTAATCCTATTGTTTACTCTGTACCATTACTACCCGTAATCTACAAAAACTTCCTGTTCTTTACACGTCCACTTGTATATTTAAATGCTGTAGTTATGATCTAATCGTAACAATTTATTTAACAGTAATTCATCATACGCCAGGTCAATGTAATGCCTACTCCCAGAACTGAAACGTTTGTATTTTATCATTACATACATCTGAATGGAAAGAACATAAATGCACAGATATGTTAAGTAACTACACAAGCTGTCTGCTTGTAAGTGGTGATATCAGTACCAAAGTGATATTCAGCAGCAATTAGAAATATGGTTCACTTCTTGATTCACTTAAATCATGCAGATATAGTGCTCAATAACAACTTAGAAGAACAATTCAATTGTATTGCTTTTGGGTCATATTTTCAGCCTGAATATTCAATTGTCTCAAGCCCAGAAGCCCTTGCACTGAGACACCATTCTCCATGTGAGAGGAAGTAGAGCTGAAGTTTTAATGAGAAGTTTTGAGATGAAAAAGCTTCTTTGCCACCATCACACTCAACATTTTTGATGACAATATAAGATCCACTGAGTTGTTTTAAACAGCAGCATTAGTGTTAGTAGCACTACAAATAGTTCTGAAAAGGCGTGTTGAGTTTACTTCCTAACGATAGAAAAAACAGAAGACGTAGAAATGATCTATCTCCAGAGCAGATGTAGTTGGACAGGGGAAGTGATGGTGTTAGTAAACACAGAGTTCAGGGGGGGGGCGGGGCATGATATGTACTGATAAATGATTGAAATTGTACATTGATTTAGAAATGAAGGAACAAACGTGTATGTTGCTGCCATCTCTACAAAGGTGGTTTTGCGTACAGGAAAATTCCTCGTTACATTCAGAGCACTGCGGCATATACATAACCAAATATACATTTTAAAATTGTAATCTGGATGTTTAGGAGGTGCTGTAGCCTTGTAGCATTTCATGCTACAGGTAAACAGCAAATGTGTTTTTCGTGGAAGTCAATAAAACATTTTTTCCCTTTTAAAATATTCCACATGATAACTGTTCTGACTATTATATAAATAAATGTATTTTAGATTTGTCTTATGAGGATTTAAGGTTGTAAAAATATGTTGTGAGTCAGTGGAGTTGGGATATCATATGTTGAAGTAGTGCCCCGGTCTCTTGTCTTATCATACTGCCCCTCCTGTAAGCCTTTTATAAACTGTATCCAGTCAAATTAAATTATAAGGTTCACATATATGTTTCTCACCTTAATACCGAACATTAGTTTAAACTGATTCTGTCTCCTCCACTTTGTATTCTAAGAGATATTAAAATAAATCAGTGGGCTGATCTTCCAACATAGATATTCCAGCTCCTGTTTTAGTCCGCTTTGTGAGGTTTATCTTGATGAAGTTTCTATACGAACTAATGAGTGAGATGTACTTGTTTTCCATACACATACAGTGGGCAAAAAAGTATTTAGTCAGCCACCAATTGTGCAAGTTCTCCCACTTAAAAAGATGAGAGAGGCCTGTAATTTTCATCCTAGGTACACTTCAACTATGAGAGACAGAATGGGGGGAAAGAATCCAGGAAATCACATTGTAGGATTTTTAATGAATTAATTGATCAATTCCTCGGTAAAATAAGTATTTGGTCACCTACAAACAAACAACATTTCTGGCTCTCACAGACCTGTAACTTCTTCTTTAAGAGCCTCCTCTGTCCTCCACTCGTTAACTGTATTAATGGCACTTGTTTGAGCTCGTTATCAGTATAAAAGACACCTGTCCACAACCTCAAACAGTCACACTCCAAACTCCACTATGGCCAAGACCAAAGAGCTGTCAAAGGACACCAGAAACAAAATTGTAGACCTGCACCAGGCTGGGAAGACTGAATCTGCAATAGGTAAGCAGCTTGGTGTGAATAAATCAACTGTGGGAGCAATTATTAGAAAACGGAAGACATACAAGACCACTGATAATCTCCCTCGATCTGGGGCTCCACGCAAGATCTCACCCTGTGGGGTCAAAATGATCACAAGAACGGTGAGCAAAAATCCCAGAACCACACGGGGGACCTAGTCAATGACCTACAGAGAGCTGGGACCAAAGTAACAAAGGCTACCATCAGTAACACACTACGCCGCCAGGGACTCAAATCCTGCAGTGCCAGACGTGTCCCCCTGCTTAAGCCAGTACATGTCCAGGCCCGTCTGAAGTTTGCTAGAGAGCATTTAGATGATCCAGAAGAGGATTGGGAGAATGTCATATGGTCAGATGAAACCAAAATAGAACTTTTTGGTAAAAACTCAACTAGACGTGTTTGGAGGAGAAAGAATGCTGAGTTGCATCCAAAGAACACCATACCTACTGTGAAACATGGGGGTGGAAACATCATGCTTTGGGGCTGTTTTTCTGCAAAGGGACCAGGACGACTGATCCGTGTAAAGGAAAGAATGAATGGGGCCATGTATCGTGAGATTTTGAGTGACAACCTCCTTCCATCAGCAAGGGCATTGAAGATGAAACGTGGCTGGGTCTTTCAGCATGACAATGATCCCAAACACACCGCCCGGGCAATGAAGGAGTGGCTTCGTAAGAAGCATTTCAAGGTCCTGGAGTGGCCTAGCCAGTCTCCAGATCTCAACCCCATAGAAAATCTTTGGAGGGAGTTGAAAGTCCGTGTTGCCCAGCGACAGCCCCAAAACATCACTGCTCTAGAGGAGATCTGCATGGAGGAATGGGCCAAAATACCAGCAACAGTGTCTGAAAACCTTGTGAAGACTTACAGAAAACGTTTGACCTCTGTCATTGCCAACAAAGGGTATATAACAAAGTATTGAGATGAACTTTTGTTATTGACCAAATACTTATTTTCCACCATAATTTGCAAATAAATTCTTTAAAAATCAGACAATGTGATTTTCTGGATTTTTTTTTCTCATTTTGTCTCTCATAGTTGAGGTATACCTAGGATGAAAATGACAGGCCTCTCTCATCTTTTTAAGTGGGAGAACTTGCACAATTGGTGGCTGACTAAATACTTTTTTGCCCCACTGTATTTAAAAAGAGTGAGGTAGATATATAATAGAAGGAAAGAAAAACAAAAAACATTTAAAGTCCCCCAGTCATGACACCAAAGAAAATACATACAAAAAAGTCCAACTTTATACTGAATCATGGGGCATGTATACAGTGATTTAAACTGATATCACAAAAGGAGAATACAAAATAAATAAATAACACTACTACAGAAAGAAAAAAAGAAACTTCAGAGAGAGGGAAAAAACATCACCTGGCAACATTTCCAAAAGATTAGGAGAAATCCTTCAAAACACTTTCACTATCCAGCCTCTATTTTAAGACCTTTTTCCATTCATGACATTGAAATGTGTTCCCTTCCCTGGACTTTAACCCATCCTTTATTTGGTTTTCAGAAGCAGTGATTATGAAGACAAACAAATAAAGACATGATCTCACCTTGAAGACATTAGCAGAAGTGGCGTTATATTGCCCTTGAAGTAATACAAAAAATAAAATAAAGTACCAGATTTTGAATGGTTGAGAGATGATGACAAGACAACCCAATTAGCCCTATTGATTTAAGAAGAGGCAAGAAATGGATGGGTTAAAATACCAGATCTGGTGTAAAGAAAATATCTGGTACACTGACTTCAACAGGAGGTACCGGGAGAGAAACAGGTACAGTATGTTGTAGAGGTCAGGGAGGTGCCAGTCGGGGAGAGGGCACTACCAGACTCAACAAAACATGATGTGGGAGAAAAGGGGGAGGTAAAAGCTGAAACAAGTAGAGGACGATCATGGAGTGTGTGGAGAAAGCAAAGCCTTTACTTTGACCTGAGATTGAGTTGCACCTAGAGGGCATTGCTAGACAACAAGTACATAAAGGGTGCCGAAAGTTCACACTCACACATCGAGCTAATGTGTCCATTCCAAATAATAATATTAATAATAATATAGACATCCACAAAACAAATACAAGAGGAAAGATTTCATAACAAATAAAAAGGAAATTAACAAAATATAGTGTTACAGAGAACCTTTCG